TTTCCATTTCATTGTTTGGTTCTCAAGAATTTTTAATGGTGTTTATTATCCTACTTCCCATTTATTTCCATTTCATTGTTTGGCCATAAGTAATGCCATAATTGAAAATGAAAATGATGATGATTTACAAGAATGTATATTCATGATGAAAACGAAACGGTTAAAATATTATACTGAAATTCCTGATTTAAATTCAATTGCATTTTTCCTTTGTCCTAGATTTAAGTTAATTGCATTACAATAATTTTTTCATCTTTATTATGGATCTTATAATATTGAAGTAGATTATTTTTCTCTTACTAATAATATTTTAAGGTATGTCCGTCAATTGTATGATGAGTATTCTAAATTAGTATCTCCCATTTCTAAGTATCATATCCACAAACTACTCAATCCACTAAATTTCATTTTATATAATTTACTTTCATGCAAAATGTTTCAAAAAAACCAAGGGAGGGTCCACATTCATACATAGAAATTGAGACATATATTAGCACAGATTTTGAGTATTTAGGTGATGATGCGGATGAAGACCCAACAAAATTTGATATTTTAGGTTAATGAAAAAAAACATGCAAATCGCTTTTCAGTCTTAGCTTTAATTGCAAAAGATATTCTTGCTTGTCCAATTTCTACTGTTGCAGTGGAATAAGCTTTTAGTGCAGATGGACAAATTTTAGATCCAACACGGTCAAAATTATCGCCAAATAATGTTAAAATGCAAGAATGTATTGACGATTGGACTAGAGCGGCGCGTTGAGAACTCAAGACCAATAAAATTCAAGCGATGACGATAATTCCGACTCATTAACGAGGACGAGTAGCACCGATGACTAAAATTAATTATAATAATTGGGAGGTTATTTTCCATTGTAATAATAATAAAAAAAAAAGAACTACATGAGCTTTAATTTACTCTAATTCCCAAGAAGATACGTAGGCAATTAAATTAAAATTTTTAAATTTTAATTTAATTCAATCCCAAAATAAAAAAATTATAATTTTCTATATTAGTGAATTAGCAAAATTTGTAAATTTAATGTAATAATAGTTCTAAGTTAATAGAAGTTTTTCAGTTCTAAGTAATAGAAGTTTTTTTCTTTTTAAAAATTTATGTTTTTCTTTTAAAATTTTATAATAATTTAGTTAGTTAATAAAATCTAAACATTTTAAAATTATTATTTATTTATGAATTGAGAATCAAAATTTTATTATTTTTTTTAAAAAATTGTGTAATACTAGAACCAAATCGAAACCGTAATTCGAACCATCGGTTCATCGGAACCGTGCCGAAGGTTTAAGGGTCAGTTCCGCTTCAAAATTTTAAACACCTCGAACCGACGGTTTAATGAGACAGACATATAATGATGAACTCATAAGAATATGATGAATTAGTAGATGAATTAGTAGATGAACCAGTAGCAAGAAGTTCAAAAACAATTTGAGATCCAAATAAGTGAAATTGAAATATTCATAAATCATATAAATACCTCAATTTTTTATTTAACGTAACCATCTACCCATTTAATTGGGTCCATATATGGCTATCATAGAAGTAGTCATGTGCAGTAATGGGTAAACATTTGTTTCCCATCTTGGGATGGAGTTCAACGGTTAGTTGTTCTTCTTCCCGGTTGTCATATTTGTCACCAAAGGCAATGAACGATGATCAACGGTTAGTTGTTCTTCTTCCCGGTTGTCATATTTGTCACCAAAGGCAATGAACGATGATTAATGTTCAGGACAAAGGAGATTAGATCAAGTTCTTTTATCAGTCATTTTCTTCAAAACGAGGGTAATAAAATTTTGAAGTGGATTTAAGAGGGAAAATCACACAAACAATATTTGAGGACTGAACAATAACATATTTCTAGTTGATTTTGACCACTTAGTAAAATGGATTCCAAAATAAATCCAACAACCAATGACTTGTTTGCAATGAACTAAGATTAGAAAAAACTATTTAAACAATAACGAAAAAGCTCATAAACAACCACGTTGAGTAGGTGGAACACTCGCAGGCAGCATAAGCCATAAAGTAAGAATTGCCAGCCAATTAATGTTCCGAGATACAAAAAATCAAAAAACCAAGATTGTGATATAAAGTTTTGCAAGCTGCTTTATGCACCATATAGAAATTTATTTTTGCCCTGTGCTAGGAAAGCACTGATTAGAACTACTCACCTACTGAAGACATGAAGGAAAGCATCCTCTCTAAGTTGTAAGTGCATTATTTGTTATTTCTAGCAATAATGTCCTAATTAGGCAGGTATGCAACCAATTTTTAGTTTTCATTTCTCATTTTGCTATGTTACCTTTAAGCCTCTTATTTATTGACCGATCAGTGACAGTGAGAAAAACATGGAAAATGCATAAGGTTGATGATAACACCTCCTATACCCTCTGAAAATAATTATCAAAGAATAGCAAAATCGGCAAGAAATTCACAAATGAGGATAACATACCAGAGGCTTGATTAAGCACATTTAAAGCCATCGAGTCCCAAAGATCCACAAGTTCCTGTCCGTCAATATTAAATTTACTCTGTCAATATTAAATTTACTTCTCAATCCGCAATGCACGGAGAACCCCTCAGCAGATTCAAATTCAAGACCCAAAAGCCTCTAGGAGTCCCCATCGGTGGGGGTCCTTGAGCGTAACCATAGGCTGGGTATGGAAGATGGATAACATTGAATTCCATTTGGCATAGGCGAGTTAAAATGTCTATAAGGCCGGATTTGGGAGCTGAGCTGGGGAGATCTGATTAAGGCAGTCAATAGGAAGGATCATAGGAGGTGGAGCTACTACTACTCTAAGAGCACCAGAAACCATAACTGGTTGAGCACTCACTACAGGCGGCTGCACGCCAACGGTAGGGTTTTGATAATTCGCAACGTAGAGAATTGAGGAATTGGATGGAAAGATTGAGCAATGGGAGGCACAGATGCCTCGACGACTTAAGGCGACGGCATGTGTGATGGAAACACATGTATTGGTGGAGATACTAAAGTTGGGTTCGGATTTAGGCTAAGGTTAGGGTTAGCGTTTGGTGGGGGGAGGAGTTGCGGATTATTGTTGTGGCGGTGCCGATGCTGTTGAGGAATCAAATGTTGGATTGGGTAGAATGTTTAGAATTTGATTCTATGGTAATGCCAGTAGTAGGAGAAAAGGGAGGGTTCGCCATTAAGACATTTTACTAGGATTTATTCTCTTTTTTTATTTTTTTTATTATTATTGTCGTGAAATGTGTGTTCTATGCTCACCGTACCATTTGTTAACTATTAGAATTTAAAATTGGAGTTTGGAGTAAATTTAGAATATATATATATTGAAATCAAGATAAAATATGCGAGGATAAAGATTATAGAAATCCTATTGACTTGTTAATTAAAATCTATTTGAGAGTCTAATATATATTTAATATAGATTCTTCCTATCAATTAGATAATTCTTTTCATACTAAGTGAATTTCTTTTGATAGTGTTACACGTATTTATTTGCATGTATCTATTTATTCTATCGCGTGAGATGACACGCATATTAAAGGACCATCCCTAGCCACCTTCATTTTTTACAACTGCAATGCCTCGTGTCTTTCTGGCTCTCCATCGTCACATATGTATGAGAATCATCAGAGTTTACAATGACGATCCTTTTCATTTCCTTATATATATATTTCATATTCTAAGGCTTGGGTTGGCGTGGGAGCAGACTGCTTCAAACTTGACCGTTGGATGTATTATCATACATATAATAATAAGATCTAATTTTGTCACGACCCATTTTCGTGGGCCGGATCGGCACTAGGGCCCAGGTAAGCATAAGGCCCCCGAGGCCCGTAGTAAGCCTAATTACTCAACTTATACATTCCATACCATTTATAAAATCCCTAATAATAATAATTTTTTTTTTTTACAGAGACTGCAAAAATAAATTTTCCAAGAAAATAGAATTCAATTAATAACTAAAAATATCACAAATTAGTTATCATCATAATTATATATATAATATATGATATATGATATAGTTTACTTGCTTCTTGCCTTTAAAAAAAAAAAAAAAGAACTAGTTTGAAATTAATATAAATAAGACTTTATTAAAATTAATAAACAATGGAGTAATACATAGTTTGTTAGATTTTGAGTCAAATGAACTAATTCTTAAAATAAACAATCCATTGCATTATCGCTGCTATTATACTAGTAAAGGTCATTCCCGGACAAAATCTTGCTTTTTTTTTTTAGTCATATAACAATAATAATAATAATAAAGAATAATATTAAATCGATATAATATATAATATATAATATATAAATAATATATATATATATAATATATATTATAATATATGTATAGTAAATGGACGAACCAATATGGTTCTTATCCATGTATTTGATAAAGTTTTAGAGACTGCATGGTAATTTATCTCTTAAAAGCATTTTTTACGTTAAAGATTATAACACACAGATCAGATAATTTAAATTTTGAAAATTGAAATTTTTTAGTACTATCTCTATTTCATAATATTTGTTATATTTGAAAAATAATTTGTTCTAAAATATTTTCAATGAGTAATAAATTTATTTTTTTCATATTTATAATTTGTATATGACTAATAATTATTATTTTATTTAATAATTTTCTTAAACAATTAGTATTAAATTAAAAGTAATAAAATCAATTTGCTTAATAATAATTTGCTTAATAATTTATTATAATTTAGACAAATTTAATATATTTTTTAAAGAGATTGAAATTTTAGATGTGACAAGTATTATGGAATAAAGATATTAATATAATTCATCAAATTTGAGGGACTAAATAGTAATTATACTTTGGGGGGTATAATTACCACGCAGGTACGGAAACGGAAAGAGCTGCATCTTGTAAAGAGGACAGGTGGTCCCCCCAAGTCCACCGCTTTTCTCAAGTCAAAGTCCAAAAAATAAGTGGGAACTCTGAAACTCGAATTCTTGAACCGATCGTTGGAATTTCTTGATTTTGTTACAACTATTCTGGTTTCACACTTACCATTCTATATTAATGAAACAATTCTCATTTTCTTCAACACTCAACCAATTCTTGATTACTATTTACTGCTGTTTGTCATCTCTCATTTCAGCCTTTCTTCTTTCTTCTTCCTCCCCATTCCAACCAACTTAAAAGGTCCTCAGTTAAGGTATGTCTCTCGTTTTTAACCATTTCTTGCTTCTATGGTCCTCAGTTAAGGTATGTCTCTCGTTTTTAACCATTTCTTGCTTCTATGTCTGTCGTCTTTATCTGCTGTTTTTGCTCTCAACTCTGATGGGTCTACTCTATTGTCACTCTTAAGGCACTGGACTCATGTGCCTTCTTCCATACATTCAACTTGGGATTCTTCACACTCTACTCCTTGTTCATGGTCAGGCATACAATGTCACCCTACTTCTTTCACTATACTCACTGTGAACCTTTCTGGTTATGGAATTTATGGCCAACTGGGTCCAGAAATAGGAAATTTATCTACTTTGCAAACCTTGGACTTGAGTAATAACAATTTCTCTGGTCAAACACCCTTTCAGTTAGCTAGTTGTAGTTTACTTGAGTACTTGGATTTGTCCACCAATGGCTTTACTGGACAAGTACCTAATAATTTTAACTACCTGCAACATTTACGTTTCTTGGGTTTCTACTCTAATTCACTGTCTGGCAAGGTACCTGAATCATTGTTTCTTATTTCGAGTTTGGAATCCGTGTATTTGAATAATAACAGTTTCACTGGTTCAATCCCTACTAGTGTGGGTAACTTGACTCATGTTCAAGAACTATGGCTAAATGGCAATAAGTTATCTGGTACTGTTCCAGAGACAATTGGGAATTGTAGTAAATTGCAAAGGCTGTATTTGGGTGAGAACCAGTTGGTTGGTTCTTTGCCAAAGACTCTCACTAATCTAAAAAGCCTTGTTTTTTTATTTCTAGCTCATAATAGTTTTCAAGGTAGCATTCCTTTAGGTTTTGGCAATTGCAAGAATTTGAGTGTTTTAGACCTTTCATACAATTGCTTCAGTGGGGGCCTCCCATCAGAGCAAGAATTTGAGTGTTTTAGACCTTTCATACAATTGCTTCAGTGGGGGCCTCCCATCAGATTTGGGAAATTCAACTAGCTTAACAATCTTAGCTATTGTTCATAGCAACTTAACAGGCAGCATTCCCTCTTCCCTTGGCCTGCTAAACAAGCTCGTTGCTCTAGACCTTTCTGAAAACCGATTGTCTGGGAAAATTCCCCATGAACTTGCAAATTGCAAGTCCTTGACACGCTTAAATTTATATAAAAACCAGCTTGAGGGAGCGATTCCTGCTGAATTGGGAAAGCTGACTCAGTTGAAGGACCTTGAATTGTTTACTAATAATTTGAGTGGGGAGGTTCCAATAAGCATTTGGAGACTACAAAGTCTTGAGTATTTCCTCGTGTACAATAACAGCCTTTCTGGTGAACTACCTGTCGAGATGACTAAGCTGAAGCTTCTAAAGAACATTTCTTTATATGATAATAACTTTTTTGGAGTCATACCCCAAAGTTTGGGAATCAACAGCAGCTTATTGCAGCTGGATTTCACTAATAATAAGTTCACCGGTGAAATTCCACCAAATCTTTGCTTTGGAAAGCAACTACGGGTTCTAAATTTGGGTCATAATCAACTTCAAGGCAGCATTCCTTCTGATGTTGGAAGCTGTTCGTCACTCTGGAGATTGATCCTTAAAAATAATAACATTTCCGGGACCCTTCCTGAATTTGCAGAAAATCCAAGCCTTTCTCACATAGACATCAGTAACAATATCATATCAGGCTCAATTTCTCCAAGCCTGGGCAACTGTTCTGGTCTTACTTCTATTGACTTCTCCAGGAACAAGTTGACAGGGCTTGTACCACCTGAGCTTGGCAATCTTGTAAAGCTTGAGGAGGTAAATCTTTCATATAACCAACTTTTTGGTTCTTTACCATCTCAGTTATCACATTGTCACAAATTATACAAGTTTGATGTGGGCACATGGTCCACAAAATAAACACAGTTTGATGTGGCATTCAAATTCATTGAATGGTCCAAGTTCCCTCGAGTCTGAGGAAATTGGACTAAATTATCCACTTTGATTCTGAGGAGAATCAAGTTTACCGGAGGCAATTGCCGCATGTGTTCTGTCCAAAGAACTGGAAAAGGGCTACAGAACTACAAATTGGTGGAAAATTTTATTGGGAGGTGAAATTGCCTTCTTCGATTGGGATTATTGAAAGTTTACAATATGCATTGAATCTTCAGTAAAGTAATGGATTGAACTGTGCAATACCTTCAGGAAGCTGGGAGAACTTTAAATTCAAGCTAGAACAACTCGAATAATCTAAACAAACAATCTTGCCAGGAGACATGAAATGTTCTTGGTGACAATCCATAACATTGGTCCTATAAATGTCTCATAACAATCTCTTCACAGGTCCAATACCAGATACCTTGAGGCTTCTTAACTCATCCTTAACTCATCTCCCTCATCATTTGTGGGCAATACTGGCCTATGTGTCAATTGTGCTCCGTCAGGTAGCTTCACATGTGCTGGGAATGGAAATTTGAGATCATGTGCAAGTCGATTAAGCAATAAAAAAGGCCTTACTAAAGTTGAAATTGCAATGATAGGCTGTGGTGTGGCTTCTACCTTTGTTCTTCTTGGACTGGCATGTACATTGGTCCCGCATAGAAGGCATAAGCAGGACGCGGAGATTGCTGCAGAAGAGGGGCCAGCTTCTCTATTCAGCAAAGTGATGGAAGCAACTGAGAATCTAAATGATAGATACATTATTGGAAGGGGAGCCCATGGAACTGTTTATAAAGCTTCATTAGGCAAGGACAAAGTTTTTGCTGCAAAGAAAATTGCTTTTTGTAATAACGGAGGAACCAAAAGTATGGTTAGAGAAATTCAAACCATAGGGAAAATCAGGCACCGGAATCTGACAAAAGTATGGTTAGAGAAATTCAAACCATAGGGAAAATCAGGCACCGGAATCTGATCAGGTTGGAGGAGTTTTGGTTAAGAAAAGATTATGGGTTGATTCTCTATAGACAAATGGAAAATGGGAGCCTTCATGATATTTTGCATGGAAAAAATGCTCCATCAACTCTGGAGTGGAATGTGCGCTTCAGAATAGCCATTGGAACTGCCCATGCATTGGCATATCTACATTATGATTGCGATCCTCCAGTGTTGCATCGATGGAATGTGCGCTTCAGAATAGCCATTGGAACTGCCCATGCATTGGCATATCTACATTATGATTGCGATCCTCCAGTGTTGCATCGAGATGTCAAGCCAGAAAACATTCTCTTAGACTCTGATATGGAGCCTCATATCTCAGATTTTGGTATTGCTAAGCTTCTGGATCAATCTCCTGCATCGGCACCCTCCAGCTTGGTTATAGGTACACCAGGATACATTGCACCAGGTAACTTCTTCTGAAACATTCTCCTAGAATCTGCTAGGAACGCTGCTTCATTTGGTACTCATATTTGTGTTGATTTTGACAGAACATGCATTTATAGAGACGAAGAGTAAGGAATCAGAAGTTTATAGCTATGGAATTGTTTTGCTTGAACTAATAACAAGAAAGAAGGCATTGGATCCATCATTCGGGGAGCAAACAGATATTGTGGAATGGAGTAGGTGTGTATGGAGAGATACAGAAGATATCAGAAGGATTGCAGATTCAGGCCTTGCGGAGGAATTCTATGATTCAGATATAGTGGAGCAAGTAACTGATGTGTATTTGTTGGCCTTGAGATGTACTGAAATTGAACCAAGAAGAAGACCTTCAATGAGAGATGTTGTCAAGCAATTACAAGGAGCAAAAGCCCAAAATGGGTCATTGCACATTTGTTCTATTCAAGATGCAGAGATGTGTATTTGAGCACAAGGAATTAGTTAGCAGATCAGTCATAATTGCTTGTATTTCCTTTCTGTTTTAATAATATCATACTAATACTAGGCTTTCAATTCTACAATAGTTGCTCTTGTTGATAACTAAAATATAAAAATTAACATTAGAAAATTACGACCTAATTTTGTTATTTTTTCAATTAGATTCAGAAAATGAGAAATTTATTGGAAATCAATGCACTTTATTTAATCAACCAAGTTAGGATTAATGTACAGTTTCAAATGAAAAATCAGAACCACGTCTTAACTGAAAATCAGCATTGCACTTGGAAGAATGAAAGGCGTTGCAAAAGAACAGAGACTAGTGGGCTGTTGAGCTCGTGACCCCATCAATAGCTTTTTGTTTTTCCACTTATGCTTTGCTCGGCAATAACTTTTTAAGTAGTTTTTAACGACTAATTAAAATGCTAAATGTTATTTTTTATAGTGTTTTATAACATAACGTTTGAACTTGCTTTTATAGGTTAAAGTAATGTTTTATAAAAAGTTAATTCATATAAATAGACCCTTAATCTTTCCAATGCTTCCTGACAAATCTCATTAAGTCAGACATCTTCTATCTTCTGACAACATAGTGCAATATTAATGTCTATTATGCAAACTATTGCCAACTAAATCCGGAAATTAGAAATTTGGATATGTTCAGCAAAATTAACTGTTTTAGTAGCGTTTAGCAGTTTAAGTAGCTTTTCATAAAACGAAAGCTAAACGAGCTGTTTGAGTAACTTTTCATAAAATACTAAGAGTTAAACGTTATATGAGTTAACTTTTCATAAAACCCTACCTTAATCTCTAAAAGTTAATCCAAAATTTATGTTATATTACCGAATTCCGTAAAAAGTTGCTTTGCAAACCTTAAACCACTTTTCAATTAGGTAGTTGTAGATTACTTGAGTAGTTGGATTTCCTTCAGTGTCGGGTATAATTAAAATTTTGAGATATTTGTCCAGTGAAGTTACAGATGTGTTTGTGGGTCTTGAAAGGGAGCCGAGGAAAAGACCCTCAGTTATAGATGATGTTAAGCAATTACAAAACGCAAAACTTTCTTCTGTTCAAGTATTTTTAACTGATAGAAAGCAATTACAAAACGCAAAACTTTCTTCTGTTCAAGTATTTTTAACTGATAGATAATTGATTTTATTATAAGTAAAAATAATATTAGACTTTCTATAATAATTATCTTAATCTGATAAAAAAAATTATTAAATATAATTAACATTTAACATTCAATATGATAATAGTTCCAGCAAAATCTTCCTATTTTGTTAGCTTTTTCAAATTAGGTTAGGACTAACGTAGAATGTAAAATGAAAAACTAGAACCACAGTTCAACTAAAAATCAGAGTATCAGGTGCATTGAACTTGAAAGAATAGCTTAGTCAAAGAATAGTCGTAAGTTTATTGCCGGTATCCTAACATAATTATCTTAATTTGATAAAAAATTATTAAATATAATTAACATTTAACATTCAATATGATAATAGTTACTGCAAAATCTTCCTATTTTGTTAGCTTTTTCAAATTAGGTTAGGACTAATGTAGAATGTAAAATGAAAAACTAGAACCACAGTTCAACTAAAAATCAGAGTATCAGGTGCATTGAACTTGAAAGAATAGCTTAGTCAAAGAATAGATACATAATCGAATTCAGGATCGAATAAAATATTCAGCATTTACAGACTCAAACTGAACTCAACCATGAAGAGATTCCCAGACTTCACAAAAATTGAGAAGATGAAAAAAATGAGATCAAACCATATGCTAATCTGCTTAGTGCTTACAAATCCTTCAAGGAATATATTCAACGAGCCAAATATACACAAGGGTTTAGAACTTTGTCTTAGGAACTCCCATGAGATCTGACAGATGAAATGGATTGTGCAGAAACAGAGGCTGTTGGGCTGTTGAGTTCACGGTCCCCATCAATAGCTTTTGGTTTTCCACTTAATCTTTCCAATGCTTCTTGACAAATCTCAGTAAACCAGTCATCCTCTGGCAATACACTGCATTTAAAGTGGAAAACGAATCCGGTTTTGTAAATGCAATCCATTTAATGTCTGGTAAGCATATTGAAGAAAGCACATGAATGTAGAATTTGAAATAATAAGGATAATAATGTAAAGAACTGCAGTAGGGGACGGGAACTAGAAGGAGAATTAAGGATGGATAGTTGACAATTGGTCTTATTTCTATGGATCATCTTCTCATATAATTTGCTTCCACTTAATTACCTTAAAGCTTAAACTGCACATACACATTGCAATATAAATTTGAATTATTACGACTCGTTCTCACACTAGTTCTGGGTCCACTATATATATATTATATAATGAAATTCTCCGCAACCAGCCCCATCACTTGATTCCCATGCAGTGCCCAACAAGCAGAAACATCTATGCAGCATCAGGGGGCAATTGCCTTCTATAATTCTCTAACAGAGGGAGACAATATTTAAATCCGTAGATGTATAATCTCTCCGCACAAATTTCATGCCCCTTCTCTAGTATTGATCTTTTGTTGGAATATAAAGCCAGCCAAGCAAAATAATGCTTCTCCTGTTCCAAATTCCTGAATTCATTTGGATCTTTTACCGATGAAAATCATCATTCCAAGGGGGATTTGGATTTGGATCAGTTTTTTTTCTTCTCTTGCAGAGTTACTGATTGTGGTCCATATACTATGTGCTGAAACAAAATCCCTAAGTGTAAAGGATCTCTTTTTCGTTTTTTGAACAAAGGTGAAGGATTAAAGATGTAGAATATCTCAGGAACTTTCACATAGTTTTCAGTAGCAATAACTGCATCCTCTTTTAATGATGTTTGCAAATTATACATAAAACACACAATAAATTCATAACCCAAAGAAGAAACTGCTTATTTACCTGTCTGGGTCCATTCCTGTAGCAGAAAATGCTGCAACAGCTTTAGAAATTATCTCATTGACTACCCGAATCAAATTCCGTGACAAGTAGCGTCCTTGTGAAGCAAAGCACATCACAAACTTCATGTCCAAATAAAACTGCACATAGACCAACAAATGCAGTATATCAAAACTCAATACACCAATAAGAACTAGAGGAAAAGAAGCCAGATTTACATACTTGTTGCAGACCAAGAGGACCCAATGGCCTTGGACCTTCTTCAATATCATCCCAAAAGCTTTGATCTTCCGAAAGCCATAGTATAACAGTTTCTGTGAGCCTCATCAATAGCAATGTAGCAAATCTTTCCCTTCCTACAAACATATCCGCTGCTATGCTAGCCATTCGGTTCAGTTTTATAAAAAGTTCCTGAATCATAACATAACAAGAACCCATAAGAACTCGTAGTGAAATAGATTGTTCATCTCCAGCAATACACTGAAACTATATATATTAGACAGTTAATTCTCCACAGCCAGCACAAAGTTCCAGTTCTTGAATTTTGAAAGGCCAATCTAACATGAAGGTTAACTTAACAAATTTTCAATTTTCTTTAAATCCAGCTAAGTTCAGTGAAAATAATCTCACAAAGTTAAGTTCACTGAAAATTAGTTTTTCCATAGAGTTTGATAAATTCAATGCTTCCTCCAAATTCCAGTTCCTAGGGTCTGTATTCTTCTGACAAAAAAGAGATACAAAGTTATAAATAACTATATTACACACCCAAACAGGTGTCCAAATAAATACAAAAACATATTAACCGCTAATAAATTTTATTTTTGATCTTCTTTTACCCAAAAAAACTTGTGAAAAACATCTTTAGGTAGCAGGTGCAACCCCAGGGACATGAGGTCAAATCAATATACAGATGAAAATGCAACCAGAATGAAAAGCAACAACATTCTATTCTCTCCTGCAACAAATATTTAATTGTCTTCATATTACTGATACTTTATCCTATGAAATCCCAAGCATAATATGTATTTTCAGTTGACATATATATCATAACTGGACCCAAAAATGGCCTAAAGTTCATTCTGACAAGCAGAGCGATCTATACATGATATATATACATCTACAACACCCCTCTCAACCCAAAAAAATAAAAACAAAAAGTCAGCATTTTGTACCAAAAAGATTTTACCTGGAATATTGGGGATGGAAACCATTCCATCTCATCCATATTTCCATCCATGTTTATGTACATTTCTGCAGTAAGATGACTATCACCCTCTTCCGTAAAAATGAGATCAAGGGCATGCTGTCGACAAAAACTATCTTTTAATCTATCAACTGAACTCACAAGCCGCTTCCTCCATTCTCGTTGTTCAGGATGACGATTTTGCCTGTCTAGAGGTCTCCTACGGAGATCATCCTTACTATTTGCTTGATGAACAGGGGATACCTTCATGGCTGCCCGCGGGAGTAGTTCATCAGCCAATAATGATGCATTGGCTAGCAAGGCTATCTGCTGGGCTTCAGTCTCAGCCATTCGTACAATTTTATTTCCTGAACCCTCAAAGTTTCCTTCTTCTTCCATTGAACCTGGCAATGCTTTTATCAGCATGTTCACATATGAGTTAAATACTTGAAACAAACCCTCCAATGATTGACTTCCCAACTGCATGCTTAAAAGTGGTCCAACATCCTCAAAGAAATCCTGAAAAATAAATGGAACAATTTCATCATTTGAAGAAAATAATATAATTCAATTCAATCAGTTATCCCGACAAGCATGAGGAACACATGCACCAATGTAAGGAAATTAGTAACTCAAAGCACTTTAGAGGTGCAAAAAGTTGGGGAAAGCTCTACTCAATTGGAAGAGAAAATTCAAGTGAATAAATACAGCACATGCATATGGAGCAGGAAAAACCCATGTCAGCAGATATACTACAGAAGGAACAAAGAATCAAAATTTCAAAAGATCATTGGAATCCAAACAAGCAGCAAAATGGCAATTCAAAGCAGTAATAGCCAGGGATGGATTAAAAAATAGAGTCTATAATTGTCTTGCGACCATAAGTTATAGTAAAACTGAACTTTCTGTTAACAGGTTAAAACAACAATATGCAATACATTTGCCAGAACCACTGTTTCAGCCGAAAAGAGAACAGATGGCAGTTCAATGTTCCAATTAAATTTTAAAATTTGCAGTATCAGTGATAAGAAAGTCAGAGACAATGATCTTCCAATGATGTATCAGTGATATTTTCCACAACCTGAAAAACTTTTATCTAGTCTTCAAACAATAGGACACACATACACCAGAGAAATTGAAGCACAATGGACAATATGGGAAGAAAGGAAGGAGGTGAATAAAGGAAAACGAGCAGCAGCTGCAAACATACAGTCATCTTTAGACAACATGGTAAAAAGAAAAAAAATGTATTGTACTTCGTATACACACACAATGTGTGGCTGAGGAGAGAGATGTATCAATCTATTGGAAATAGTGAAGGAAAGACTATTCACCTGGACCATCAAATTGAACCGATGAGCGCTGCTTGTAAGTTTATGTTGAAATACAGCTGTATTACCAAGAGACGCAACAGAAGATCTGCCAGACTGTCGAGTACCTGTTGGAGGGTAAGTGAGTATCCAATCGTCAGCAGCAGCCAAAGCAGCTGTGCTCTCTTCAATTCGCTTTAGATTTGCATCTAGTGCCTGTTCAACACTCGGCCTAAAGAGCTTTATGAGCACAGGACAAAGTGCCAATCCACGGACTTCCAACAAAGAGCAATGACCCAAAGCTATTTGAACACACTCTGCAGCAGCTCTTAAGCCTCCAGCAGCTGCTGAGGAAGCTAATGCATGTCTTTTAACAAGAACTGCAAAGGCCTCTGTTTGCTTTGTAGCCCACATTACAAGCTCAGAAGTATAAGCAGGTTCCTTGCCAAAAATAGCCAGTGAATCATTAGCAGCTTGTGCTATAGCAGAGAATACTATCTGTGAGAGTGCAGCAGTATATGCTCCTCCATACGAGGTGCTTGATGGACGAAGACTTTGCATGTTATACTGATATCTCTGGTAATGTGCATTGAGGAGTAAATTATGAGCACGAGGACCATCCCCAAGCTTTTTAAGAGCTGATATAGCTGCACGAAGTTCACTACCACGGGTAGACGGCTGGCAAGCAGCTTCAGCAAGCTGATCAGCTAACTTTTGCCGGCGCTCAAGAAGAGCAGTCTGTAATGACACAAGTACATCAGGACTCAGCAATTTTGTTTCTTTTGCTTCAGATGCCACATGCTCTCCTTCATCAAGGGCTGCTAAAGCTTCATCCACTCTCCTCTCAGCTAACAGAACATCAAGGACATCAGGAAATTCAACTGACCACTTCTCTAGGTCAGAAGGTTCTTGATCTTCGGCAGTTGGTAAGCCATTTACCACAGAGGCTTCTGAAGCTTTTGTTGGTGTAGAATCAATATGAACTCCCTCTGCTAAACCATGAATTAAAGTAGCCTGAGTAGATAGCAGATTTCTGATGGATGAAAGCTCCCCCTCCAAGTCTGATATCTCTTTTGAAGTTCTTTATGCAAGAAACAAAGATCCTTTAAGTTTCAAAATCCTTTAAATTTTGAAGTGCTTTATGCAAGAAACAAAGATCCTTTAAACAAAGATCCTTTAAAGTGTTTTAAGAAAGAAGATGATAGTTGTATATTCCCAACATCTAGACTAATTGGAAATGATTAAAGTAGCATTTAGTTCAAGAGATGTGCAAGATACTGTAGTAAGGAGTCCAAGATGTCTAGTTTATACAGGATCTCACATTTCAATAAATCAAGAGAATTTAATTACCATAACATTATTCAATTCATGAAATCACAATCCAATAGTGGGTATCAAATCCACAGAAATGTATTGTGTATGCTTCATGACATTAATGTTTTGTTTTTGGAATCATAAAACATTAGAAAAGATTACCCTTATGTAGTTAATAGTGTTAATCTACTACTATCATTTCACTTTGAACTGCTTTGACAAAAATGTAAATTTTCCAATATGAACTCTAAAGGCAGCAAATGGAAAACAAGTCTTATTTTCTAGAAAATTATTCCAAAAATATTGAGACATTGATATTAAAGTTTATTTTAATTTGTTTAGATTTTTTTATTTATTAAAATATATTTTTTATTAGTTATCAAATTAAAATGTTAAACCTAGCTATTTCATTTTCCGAAATGGAGTTATACAATCATTTTTTTTAACTACTGTCCTTCATTAATTATTGATACTATTAATAACTCAATTAATAAAAACTTCTAAAATGTTAGTTAACTTTCATACTATTTAATATAAAATTTTTTACATAAAGCTTAACTAATATAAAAACTCCTTTTCAACAACTTAATTATTAATATAAATTTTTTTGAAAAACAAATGAAAATGTTTAGTAAGAATTTCGAAGCCAATTTTGGATTTGAAATATATCTTTAGATAGAAATTCATATTTACGATATTCAACTATGAAATTATTTATATTTTCAGCAAAATAATAGGCCAAATGACTAGAAAAATCCTAAACTTTGGCCAATTCTTTTAATTTTATCAATTGACACCATGAACTATTTTTTTTATATAACAATTGTGATCTTCATTCATCTATTGTCCAAAACTTGCTATCGTGGCTATTAAACTTACAAGTGGACCCCACATGCAGTTTAGTTAGTGCTAAGTAAGCAAACAATAAGTCACATAATGACCAAAAAAGCCTGAACTTTGATCATTTTTATAATTTTAGCCATTCTTTAATTTTTCAATTTTTTTTTACAATCGTGGGATTTACCTATCTGCCGTCCAAAACTTGCTAACATGGCCGTTAAACTTAATAAGTGGGCCTATGCACGACTCAGTCAACGCTGAGTGGATTTTCCATCAAAAGAGTCACGAAATCAAATAATAATTGCATTAATTTCCAAAAACTACCAAAACTCCTTAAAGCAAAATTCGTTTATCTTCCATTAATTTCTTGAAGAAGATAAATTACACTTATCTAATAAAATGCTTTGTAATTACTAACCAAAAACAAAATTCCTCTAGATCTTAAAGAATTCAACAAAACAAAGCAAAAAAACTACTTCCACATCGAAGTAATATCTACCCTTTAATCTTTTGAACATTTACATCGGGCAAAATAATGACCAAATTGGATCAAAAGCCCAAAAATAAATACAATTCTGCTAGTAAAACAAGAGGAGGTACCAAAAGTTTCCATCAAAGTCAAGAAGCCAAATAAAGAGATATAGAAAAATAATGAAATGTTTATATATAAAAAAGAACCCATCTTATTTGGCTTATATATAAAAAGCCCTAAGGTGGATTCACAGTATCAATTGATTTGTAAAAATGGTACAGATGGTCAAAGTTTAAGCTTTTTTTTGGTCATTTGGCTTTTATTATTTGCCTACTCAAATTTGACTAATCCGCATGTGGGGCCCACTTGTTAAGTTTAAGTACCAAAACAGCAAGTTTAGACTGTAGATAGATGGAGGCTACAAATGTTAAAAAAATTTAGCTCATGATATCAATTAATGAAATTTTAAAAATTCGCCAAAATTATGAAAATTATCAAAATTCAGGCTTTTTTTTTTACCATTTAGCCAAAATAATAGCTATTTAATATAATGGCCTTAATTAAAATCAACAAAGGGAAAACAAAAACGGACAATTGAATATTTGGATATATTAATGTAACATCCTGACCAGATGAGGTGACAGCTTGAGATGTTAGCTTACCTTCAGGCGGATCCCACATTGGCTAAGTACAAGGTGGAAATGATGTATATTAAGGATGGGTAAGCCTTAGACTAGCAAGAGACTTTTCGAGGGTGATGGATTATCACTCTCAAGAACAAAACCCTACGGGCTAGGCTTGGGATGTTAATTAACATGATTTCCAATTTTGCAATTTCTATTCGGACTACAAAAAATTAGGAAATTGGGAAATGGAGAAGAAAATTCGAAATTGGAAAAAAAAAAAAAAGTTTTCTACCACTAAACATGGCCATAGTGTTCCATTGGAAGAAAGGAATATCACTTACACCAAGAGAATATGTCATGACATAATAATCTCTAAAAATCAATTTGCTTTTATGCCAAAAAGATCAATTACAAAGATAAATTACCATAAGAGGGAAACTGGAGAAGAATAAAAAGGACACAAAAAAAGACCTCCATAATGTATTCTATCAATCTAGAGAAGGCATATGACACAATATAGAGAAATGGCACTATAATGATTTTGGATAGGAAGAGTATTTATTAGGTAAATAGAAGTGTTTAAGGATCACTAAGTCATTGACATTTAGACAATTGTAGATGATCTAATGGGTTTTCCTGAAGTTGGATGGCACCCAAGGTCAACTAAATGCTTATCATTATGCTTTGTCATGGATAAGTTAACAAATGATGAAAATATGATATTACCAAGTGTGTGAAACTAATGAGAACCCAGATTTGAGCAAGACAACTATTCAGCAATATGTGTAGATTTTACTAGAAATATGCTTACACTATTGATGCTTTTATTTTGATGCAAACCAAGCAATCAGCAATCCACATATCTCAAAATATCAACTTTGTTAGAATTATTTGCTCAAAAATTTTGGCAAAAACATATTACTTCAAGGGATTTCATTGTTACCATATGCTACTTGCATCACTTTTCCCAAAATGAAAAAGAAACAGAGAAGAAACTCTTCCATAAAAAAAAAATGTTGAACGATATGAATAATAAAAGAAAAACTAACAAGGATTAAAAGAAATCTTCCTTCACTAGCTGGATGCTTTAAGGAAGCACGGCAATCATTTATCGCCAAGAACCACTTATTGCTAATCAAATAAATTAGTTGTAATTGCAGGAACTTTTATACCCTAACATCTCATTCCTTGTGAAATGATTCCAACAGGTAAATAGAATTCAAGAACAAAATGCCACCAAAGTTGATTGTGAAATCAAGATTATAAACAGGTTAGATGATAAAATCAAAGAAAAAGAGTCATGATCTTTACAACTACTGTTTTATGATCATATCATTAATCTCAACAAAATTGATAATGTACGAGAAAAATCCATTGAAAAGTACCAAAAAGTATGTGTTTTTGTGTGTTAATTTTCCACATAAAACTATGTTAGACCTCAACTTCTATGATGATTTCCCAATGTACAAACTATAAAGAGAATAATTTATTGGGCAATTTGAGATTTATGTAAACAAATTCTGCAATAAAATGGCATGGAGCAGTAACTACCATCTACATAATAGTGAGAAACAACTCACCGAATGAAAGCTGCATAATTTGCATACACACTCTTCCGCATTTCTTCAGCAGAAGCTTTCTTCAAATCCACAAGATATGAACATAATTGCCTTATTTCCTGTAACCAAAAGCATAACGGTATCATAATGAGGTTAAACTGACCCTCATTTCGTTGCAAAACGCAACTGGAGCCACTGAAGCATGATATACAGTGACTTAAATACACAGAATCATAATCATGAAGCTGAAGAAACTTCAAAAAGAAAAAAGTTTAAAGATAAATTTATAATTAACGAAATTCAGCTAAATTTATAATTTCCTCTACAATATAATAACCAAAATGGCACATACTTTAAGCTGAAGCTCAGAAAAATATGCATATGAAAAGTTAATTCAAGAACTAAATAAAAGGAAAAAGAAAGTATGTATCGACCTTGTCGTTGAGAGAGCATTTTGACTGAACATAAGAATCGGCGTCGAACTTATCGGACTTGAAGACCATAAGACCTTCTTCAAGTTTGGTACCATTTTCCTTGACCGGAGTTCCTCTCGACCGGCCACTTTTCACGGAGGCCATTCGAGAATTGGATTCCTTCTCCTAAAATGAGTCAACTGCTGCAACAGATCTGATGATCATCAATCAAAGTAACTTGTAATTAAAGAGAGATCTGATATTAAACGCAGATTAGGCCATTATAGATCAAAGAGAAAGTAAGAGTTGGTGAGCAGAACAATGATTATTTGATTATTTATTGTCTCTCTACTTTGGGGAGAGACGAGAGACAGCAGCACCACTCTGTCTCCAATTTTTCTCCGGTCAAAAAAAAAAAAAAAAAAAAAAAAACGGCCACTTTTTCACGGAGCCATCGAGAATTGTGATTTCCTTCTCCTAAAAAAAATGAGTCAAACTGCTGCAACAGATTGGATGATCATCGAATCAAAGTAACTTGTAATTAAAGGAGATCTGATTATTAAACGCAGATTAGCCATTATAGATCAAAAAAAAAAAACAAAAACGGAGAAAGTAAGAGTTGGTGAGCAGAACAATGATTATTTGATTATTTATTGTCTCTCTACTTTGGGGAGAGACGAGAAGACAGCCAGCACCACTCTGTCTCCAATTTTTCTCCGGTCTCAAAAAAAAAAAAAAAAAAAAAAAAAAAAAAAAAAAAAAGAATGTTTTCTCCTCTTTTTCTCGTCAAAATTTTGTCTCTTAATAGCTAAGCTAAGATAATTTCTAATTAATAGGGATGGCAGCAGGGCGGTATCCGCAAAAAATAAATTATCTGATCCCAAATTTGTTATCATTTTAAGTATCCGTCCGTTAAGATAATATTATATATATGGTAGTTATATATAGAATTTACTTTTAGACACGCTTTAACTAGAAATAAACAATTATTTTTGAAGCTAATATCCAACGTATAAAAGTACACACTCCAAAAAGGTTAAAAGCATGAATTAACCCAAGAAAATTCATGGAATCTCCAAGAAATTAATCATCCAGTATCAGTTTAAAAGACTCCCACTTCCTTTAATATTGTAGAAGATACCTATTGAAGTATTCATGTTCAATTCCTTCCTTTAGAAAATCCTACTAGATAAGTATTTAGTTACGAAAACACTAGGTTATCTACATCTACCCAAACGCCAAATATTCAATTACAAAGTCTAGGTTTTAATAAATCTATATCTAAACCCATATATCAAGAAGTAGAACAACCAGTTAACTTTTTACCTCTCTCTCTCTTACGAGATATTTGTCTCCTACAAGATCCCCCTATGGAACAACATATATCTCTATTAAATGTTATTAGTGAAAATGAATTTTCAATTAATAAAAAATTTCTTAGGAAAGAAATGACTAATAATTATAATTTAGATAAGTGTCATTGGTCTTTTGAAAATTATTTGAAAGAAAAAAGAGATCAAATTAGAGAATTATATTATGGTTACATGAATCAATATAAAGTTAATATTTCTTTCTTTCAGTAGTTTTCTATTTATTCTATTGAGAATAGTACTATTTATTCTATTGATTTATTCTATTGAGAATAGTATAGAATACCATTTTCAAGAAGTTTTAGCTAATCAAAATGTAACTAAGAAATGGATAACTACATCTAATGATGTTGTTACATCCGTTCATCCTCATCTAGAAGAAATTAAATTTGGTTATCAACATCAGATAGTTATAGGTTCTCCTTTTTAGATGATAAATACAATAGATGATGATAAGAAAAATCTTGCATTAAAAGATATTAAAAATGTTCAATTTCAAAACAATTACACAAACCAAATACTAAACAAAATAACATTACAATTAGATAGATTAGAAATTCAAACTCCAGTATCTTATACTTATCCTATTCAAAGACCCTTACCAATTACTAAATCAGAAATTATAATATTTAAGTCCCATGAAATACCTACAGAACAAATAGTTAAGTTAGACAAAACAGAGTCTATGTTAGAAAAGATACAAAAAGATTAAATTATTTGAGTATTTCCTCTTCTTCTAATATTAAGTAAAAACAAACAATTTGAAGAAGAAGAAGAAGAAGAATTTGACACAAATATTAGTCAACTAAAAGAATAGTTTAGTGAAAATTTTATTTTATTATTCAAAAGATTCATATGCACCGTTACCCAAAACTAAAAATTTTTACCCTAGGCTGACACCTCCAGATATACATATGAAGATAGATCTGCCATGACTCAGGCTAGATATGATGGAGAATCAATTAATAAATGGAATATAGATGGATTATCAAAATATCAAATAATAAATATGTTACAAATAATAAATATGTTACAAGAAATGATTATGGCCTCATCAGCTCATAAGTCTAAAGGTAACACTGATCCAGCTGTAGCTCATATATTAATCTCATGATTTACCAGTCAATTAAAAGGATGGTGGGATAATTATCTTTCTTTAGAAGAAAAATAGAAAATATTAAATGCTACTAAAACTATAGTTAAATAAGAAGGTCAATAACAAATACATACAACTGTACGAGATGTAGTTAATACATTAATTTTTGAAATTACTAAAACCTTTATAGGTGACAGGAGAATATCAAGCTAGAGCCTTTGAATTGACAGGAGAATATCAAGCTAGAGCCTTTGAATTATTAACTACTTTGACTTGCCCAAAGTTATAAGATTTTAGATGGTATGAGGATGTATTTCTTACAAAAATATTTATTAGGCAAGATTATAGTCATGCCTTTTAGAAAGAAAGATTTTTTGGTGGATTACCTAAGTTATTTACTGAAAAGATATGCTCGAGAATATGAGAGATATGTGGTGGATTTATACCTTATGATACCCTCACATATGGATAAATTATTTTATACCTTATGATACCCTCACATATGGATAAATTATTAATCATGTTAATGATGAATGTTTAGCTCTATATACAAATCTTAAGTTAAAGGTAAAAATGAAGAGTGAGTTCCATCAAAGTAGAAAAGAATTAGAAAGTTTCTGTAGTCAGTATGGATATGAAAGGTTACATCCTCCTTCTTCTTAAAATAAGAGGAAACATAAGAAAATCCTATAGAAGACCTTTTAGAACTAGAACTTTTCGAGATAAGACCCTTAAGGATAACAAACCCCGTAGATAGCTAAGAAGAATACAGTTAAATGACAAATAGTGTATTGCAAGTGTGAAAAAGTAGGACACTATAAGTCACAGTGCAAGATGAGAGAATAAATAAATAGCCTAGATATATCGGATAAGTTAAAACCGCAAATGGTGAGTTTACTTCTCACCAATATAGATATAGATTTAGAAATAAGTGATAATCCTGAAGATTTATATAAAATAGAATCTAATTATTTAGAAGATATTCAAGTGATATAGATAACTGTGGATGCGATGGTCCCTGTATTTGTAAGATAAATAGTATAAACGTAGTTACTAGAGAGACATATTTTCGTTTAGATTGTATAGAAAAGATTGAAGATAAGAACGTTAAAAAGCAATATTTGTTAAAATTAAAAGTTGTGACATCACACAAAAACAAAAAAACAATATGACCTTATAAGTTACAAGAAATATTTAATAGGTCCAATAGTAATAAAGAGAAACTTTTCCCTTCTTTAACCGACCTATAAGGAGAAATTAAGATAGTTAAAAGGGAAATAAAAGAATTAAAACAAGAACATAATAAAATTAAATAAGACATCATTTAGTTACAAGTTAATAAAATTATAAATATTCAAGCAGAACCCTCAGAAAATAGAAAAATTACTAATTTAGCTTAAACATTATCTTATGATGAGTTTATTAATGTAATATCTAGAGTAAATTTTCAAAAATAGATAGTTTTAGTTTAAATAGTAGTTAAAAATATTTTCATTTAACTATGACTACATTAGTTGACTCTGGTGCAGATCAAAATTGTTTGTAAGAAGGATTAATTTCAATTATACATTATGAAAAAAAACTAAGGAAAGGCTATACACAGCTGATGGTAGTAAGTTAAAAGTATAATATAAATTAACAAAAAAAGTTAAAAGTATAATATAAATTAACAAAAACAAAAATATGTAGTGATGGTTTTTGTTTTAAAATTCCCTTTATTTTAGTTAAAAATCTTATTACAGGAGTAGTACTAGGAACACTCTTTTTAGCTACTAATTATCCCTTTAAAGTAGATAATGACGGATTAAAAATAAATATCTTAAATAATCAAATATGTTTTAAATTTATGCAACCAATTGGACAAAAGGATTTAAGTGCTATGCAAGATATTTCTATATATAAAGAAATAAATTTTATTGAACAAAAACAAAAATATATTAGCTATTTGAAACAAGAAATTAATAACATTATAATAACATTAGGATTGAAAATCAATTACAGTAGACTCACATACAACAGAAAATTAAAGATTTTGAAGAACTTTAAATAAAGAAGTATGTTCAAATATCCGAATGCCTTTTGGTCTAGAAAAAAACATATAGTTTATTTACCTTATGTAAAAGATTTTAATGAGAAAAATATCTCAACTAGATCTAGAGCTATTGAAACACCCTTAATTTTTATTTTCGAAACTTTTGAATTTTTATTAAATCAAAAATCTGAATTTTCGACTGTCGGGACTACAAATATCGTTTAATTTTAATTCGGGCCCAAGTTTACGGAGTTGGGCTCAAGCCCTCAAAGCCCAAAAACATGTTATTAAATATTTGCCCTTAGTGGAAGGACCTTTAAAGAAATTTTTTAAAGAGTAACTATGGAAGCATTAATTAATTAATTTATTAAAAAATGTATATGTATATAATGTGTGATTATTATAATAAATTAATTATCTTAAAAAATTCTATTTATTACTCTTATTATTCCTTATTATTATTTAGTAAATGAGGAAAATTGTTCTAGACCTAAACTAAAAGAATCAAATAAAATCAAATCGGAATTAGAAAAACCAAGCAAATCCAAAATAAATCAAATCGGATTAGAAAACCAAGCAAATCGAGCCGAATCATTGAATTGGACCAAACCGATTCGAATTGAACCGGAATAGTCTAGAAACCCAAATTTCTTTCCTTCTTCTTCGTCCTTCTTCTCCAGCGCCGACCTCACTCTCGCCTTCTCCTTTCCTCTCCTTCCCTCTAGTTCCGGTCACCTAAGACAGCGAAGCCACCATCTTCTCGTCGCCGAGCCATGACCTCCCATCTCGCCTTCCTCCGTTTCTGCTCTCGGTGGACGCAGCAGAGGCAAGCTGCGATGGCAGCTTGCGATCGTCGCTCCTCGCGTGCTCCGCCACCGATTACCTCGCTCAGTTCGCGTCTCCTCTCCGCCAGTGATTCCGGCGACTG